CACACACACGTTGGATTAGAGCAGCTCCTAAAGCCTCGACGGCAGACACAGATAAGCCCTTAATAACATTTTAAGGAACCACACCTTTTACGGCTATTTGTTGGCATTAATACTCTAAACCCTTTGTTAGTGACCAAAGTATAAATAGTTCAACTTACATTTAGTCTCCACATATATGATGACCACTAAACTTTGTATTATTCAAACAGATTATGACTGATTTTTTTGATTTTACTAACTGCATTATTATCTACGTCTTAAAGGTGCAGAGACGAGCGCGTCAGAGTAAAAGGGATGCTTGCCAGAATCACTCAGATCACATCAGGTTAATCTGCTGCCTCCTCCCTGGATCCCTCTGCTAGAAACATCTCTCCTGCAGCAGGGTCAGTGGACACAGTCCAACTTACACACCACCACAATTAGCACTCTTGTGTAAACGTTGTAGTCTTGGATATAGTAATCATCACAACTCAGCTCTTAACTTGATATAAATCAATATCAATAAATCAATATAAATATAAAACTATCATGTACGTTTGGCCATTTTTCTCCAGTTGGATTACATGGGTTTCCATTTGTGAAGAGCAATATTTATACATTCATAACATATTTACTGCTGATTTACCACCAAAGGATTATCTCAGTCAGCACTGCCACGGTCTAAACACAACTGTTATTTCCATCTGTGTTGAAAGCTATCCTTCCATTCGCTGCTGTGCGTGCTGCTGAGGTAATTCAATCATTATTCAACAAAGCCATTTTAAAAAATATCTCCTATTGGCTTTCAGTAATGGAGAAAAACTTGTACGATTTAATATTATCTCGCAATCACACATTTTATACTTGCAGCACGGGACGTGACCTTCAGGTATTAGGAGATAAAATCATTGAGAAATGTGGATGAAATGTGCAGTATTTACTCGACTCTATTTTGAGTTTGTGCAATTATCTGAAATCTAAAACATTACAGTACCCTGTGTGTATCACAAATTTAGGACACCGGTATCAGTTTTGCACAGATAAGAGCATGAACTGCAGAGGTGAACCACTGTGCTGTGTATTAGCGCCATCAAGTCAGCTGACTGGTGACTAAACAGCTAAAAGATTGTGGGTTACTGCAAAGTAGAGCAGAGGGACTTTGTATTATCAGTGATGACACTAAAGAATAAAATAACTAATCAATTACCCACTTTTATTATTTTCAATGGTTCTTCTGATGCAAAGGCAAGAATATACGAGTGTGTGCGCGCGTAAGGTAAGTTAGAGGTGAGATATGATTTTAAAGATGTGCTGTTGTCAGCAAACCTGACTCGGCTCTGTGACTGCAGCAGCCCCCGCACACACACATACATATATATTTATATATATATATATAAACCAGCATGTTCAACAAAACATAGCTCACTGCTTAAGCTCGTTACCCACTTCGGACATAAATACACCTTGCCTGCATAAGCCTTTCCTTCCTTAGCACAACCTGAAACACACACTCGCCCACTCTTCTTCATAAGCATCATCTTACATCTCATAAACAGCTCTCCTGGCTGCGTCTGAAACTGTAAACATTTATAGTCCTTCGTGGAAGCGCCAAAAATCCGTCACAGATGTTTGTATTCAGATCGCAACCTAAACACAGACCAGGTCAAAGATGTAACATCTGTTTGTTTCACTGCCTCCATGATGCTCATTTGTTTGCTTCCATCATTTGCTTTGCGCAGCTCAGATTCATTTGTTTTCTCTTAATTGTCCCGCAGCAGTTTGGCCATCAGAGAATACCGATTTGATTTTGGTTAAGTTGGCCCAACAAATCCTCCTCATTCCACCATTCACCAGTCACGAGGAACTGATGCAACATTGTTAAGAGCTTGCACATTTACAGATACCCTCACCGTTTTGATTACTTTACATCTAACTATGCATTATATATTTTTTTACATATTGATGGTTTAATTCACATTCTTTTCCATGTCAGAAAAAGCCAAAAATGAATCAATGATTATTTTCTTGCTAAATAGATTTGCTTGTAAAATGTGAGGTAACAGCATTAAAAAGAAAAAGCTCAAGGTCACATCTTCTAATTGCTAATCATTAGCTGAACGGCATCAAAATCCTTACATCTGAGCAGAAGGAAACAGGGGTTTGGCATTTGGCACATCAGGACTTGTTTTACGTTAATCAGTTAGCAAAATTTCTGTCGATAAACTTCCACACGCCTAATTACTCCCTACTACCTTGCCTTTTCTTTCCTTCTATGGTGCAAAAAGTGCTGACACACTGTCATCATGCACTCTTGAGTCATTTATATTGAGATTACATAACTTAAAAAAATCTGCTGTCAAGTATATACTTCCTCTGGACTCCTATACAGCTCCTCTTTCTTCTCTCTGGTAAATAAAGACTGAGCAACAAGCACAAACTATCTTCCTTCCCCTCCAGTTTTCCATGTACAATGATGTTTTAAATTCCTAACATTTCCACCAATTCATACCTAAATCAAAACTTCAACTATTCTTCCTGCTGCTTCTTACAGTCATTTTCCCTCAAACAATCCACAACGATCCACTTTCCCCACCTCTTCTCTTTATTCACTTCATCAATCATCCAACCACATATTTGCTTTCTCCTTCATCCATCTATTCATCCATGAAATCTTTCATTCCAGTCAGACTACAGGAGTTACATAACCCCTGATGTTTACCTCTGCAGCAGAATGTCACAGGCCATTCTCATTTTCCCAGCTGTGTTTCCTCTCACTGTGATCTACTCTTTTTGTTTAGCTTTGGGGTTTTTATGCCACTGGATCAAGCCGGTAGACGGTTCAGTTTCTGTCAGTTTCTCTGTTGAGTATCTTCTTTCTTGTCTTTCCACTGTACTCAGCAAGCCAACCTGTAGGTTATTGAAGTCCAGTGTGAGAAGCGAGCTTGACTTTTAGCCAAACTCTGCACGATCTCTGTGTTTCTCTTCTTTTTGCCTGTTAACCAATTGACACATCTCCTGTAGCAGCAGTATCCAGCTGTTAAGCTTGTTCTTCCTGAACCCTCAGTTTTTCCTTCCTTCTTCGAGTACCTGGCAGGTCTGTAGACCAACCTTGTATTCAGAGGTTATCCCAATTGAGCACTTTGAGGTGTCAGCGTCAGTACAAGCAGGTCTAGCAACAGAGCCACGGTGTCAGCAGGGTGCATGCTGTAGCGTCCTCTAAAACGGTGTGTGTCTTGAATTTATGAACAAGTGTAGATGTGTGTGTGTGTGTGTGTGTGTGTGAGTGAGTGAGGTTGCCTCACTCTGCACTCTGTCTCCAAAAGTGCTGCAGTAAATATCCAGAGCTCTGCTCAAATATATGAGCTTCTGATGTAACCAGGCAACAACCCCAGGAGGACCAATGGGATGGGAGGGGCTGAATTTGAGACCCAATTGTAAAGAGGGAAGAGGGAGGGAAAGCTATGTGGGCCAATCTTACGGCAGAAACTGGGAAGAGGGTTGATTTTTTTTGTCCACTCAGTGCCGAGTATGAACTCAGCAGTTTACAGTCAGCCCCGTGGGCTGTGTAATGGCGCGCACGCACAGACAAGATGCACACAAACTAACAGATGCCTGTGTCTTTTAAAAC